AAATGGGCAGAGGTGCCAGCACACCCTGTCAGAGGGCCAATAACATCAAACAGAAAGTGAGAAAGTTGTATTTATACAAAAAATGGTGTCTGCATCCTATGTCCACATTTGCGTTTTATAAAAAATATTGTTTTTATTTTAAGTATGCTTCAATGTTTGGTTAAAAGTTTACAAACCTAACTGTAATATTTCATCACCTCATGGCAACAACATTATAAACCAGAGTTTTACTGTAACTCCCTTAAAGTATTCAGAGAAAAGTCAAGTGTCATTTGTCTGCTGTTTTTCCATGTGATTAAAAAAAAAGATGATTTGTTATTTTAATCCTCAGATCTTTCAGTACTTAGAATTACAAGACCTGCTAAACTGTGCTGAAGTATGCTGCACATGGAAATCTATCATCCAGTCCGGCGTGTTGTGGAGTCAGGTCTGCACTCAGAGATTACTTCTTGTGTTTAATTTATGATGCTGTTAAATTTTTTTTAGTTTAAATAGCAAGCGTCTGAATGTCCCCTAATTGTTGCTCTTATTAGATCAACCTATCTGTGGCCAAAGACTGGATAACAGACAGCACAGTGAAGAACATTCTGCAGAGTTACCGTTTATTTGTGACCCATCTTAACCTGCGTGGCTGCACGTCCCTGCAGTGGTCCAGCCTGAGATTTGTCAGTAAGTGTTCAATGCTGGATTTAAGGTGGTTTATATGCAGGTGTGCAATGATCAATGCAATTTGCATTATTATTATTATTATAATAATAATAATTATTATTATTATTATTATTACCACAATAATGAGTCAAACTAATCAAAATGTCAATCTTTATATATTTGAATTACAAACACAACACCGATAACACATAAAAGCAACAAAAAAATAGTTTTTTCATCTGATGCAGACTTTTTGCTTTACAAATTACAGAACAGGTTAATGAAGGCAAAACAAACAGCCTTTAAGGTTCATATTTTAACTTGAGTCATGACAATCTGATGATCTGGTATTTCTGCGGCACCCTCAAGGCACTCGGCTCCAGCTCCTCCTCCTCCAGCTCTGCCTGTGCTTCCATCAGTGTGTTCCAGAGCTCGGGGTCTGTCTGGTCTTGATCTGGCCTGCTTTGCTGCTTTGGACACTCTCTGTTGTAAGCTTTCACATACTCCTCCACGCTGTCCCCAGCGTATTCCAGAGGAGAGTAGCACACCAGGCCTGAAGGACTCACTCCTGGATGGAGGCTTAGCCAGTAAACCATGTATTGAATGCTGAAAAAAGGCAGGGAGTTTTTAGTTAATTTGTCAGCATTTAACATTGAAAAAAAGATGCTTATAAAAATTTGAGCAGAGGAACCCACCTGTAGTCACACACCCAGAGGTTTCCTTCCAGTTTTAAATGTAACAGGAAGTAGAGGTCTTCAAGAACCCCGTGCTGGACAAACGTCAGGTTGTTGTTTGACAAGTCCAGCTCCTGGAGATGCAAGAGCCCAGTCAGGGAGCCTGAGAGTGAGAGAGAGAAAGCAGAGGTTTATGGGCACAGCTTCCGTTAGCTTCTTGACTCTCTTAGTATAAATATATGAAGAGCAAAAGCAGTGCAGTCAGACTTTAATTAAAATTAAATGCTCAGCCTGTCTTTAGTGTGTGTCTGAATAACTTCACCACACTGATCACTTTGTCTTCAACCCCCTAAGCTTTCCCCACCATAAATTAAATTATTACTGTATACAGAACGATGGCAGAACGCCCGCTGTCTCTGAAAACACAAAATGGGAAACAGAAGGCGGCAGGAGTTGTATAACTGTTCTTAACCTTTTGACTTTGCATATCCATATGGTATCCATCACATAAAGAAAGTGGCGTATACAAATTTGCAGTTGTGCATGTGGATACAAACCTACTGAGCGCCGTACATGCTGTTGTATTCCCTGATTATTATAAAATAGGTAATAATAGCATGCTTACCTTTGTCCAGGTGCTCCATGTTGTTATTGCTGAGATTAAGGGTTCGGAGACTCTTCGCGGCATGAAAGTCTCTAGCTTTGAGGTGACTGATCGAATTATGCGACAGGTCGATGTGGACGACGTTGTCGGGGATACCTGAGGGCACCTCAGTTAAACCTGAGCATAAATAAATGCAGAAAAAGCTTTATCTATATGTTCAGCTCAATTTTTTCATGCATTCAATTCAAATTGGTCAAACCCAAGAGTGCTCCAAGAAGTCAGCACAAGTTCCACTACTGGATGATTAGTAACTAAAATGTAGCGCAGAGACAAATTGGATTTCTGTTTCTATCCAGAAAATGAGTTAAACACTAAAATCCAGGCTTCGGGCCAGCAGGATGATAGTAGTACATCTAATTTAGTCCTTTTTTGGACGCACTACAAATGGTTTCCTATTTTTAATAGGACTCTTCTCATAAAAAAGCCAGATGTTGGCTTTCTTTTCAAATTTATAAGGTGACAAACTCCTATAAAGTGATAATATAAGCGGTTAAGTAAGCACACGTTTGCAAACCCACACATGCATGTTTGCTTGTTTACGTCAAGCTGTGAAAACGCTTTGAGTGAGTTGTTTAGTCGTCCCAGTCAAGCAACAGCAATATTTAATCATGAGCATACGCGCTCTCTGACAGTCGCAGGTATTTTTCCTAACCCCTCTCTTACATAACAAAAACACATGTGATAAACCTCTCAGGAAATGGCTCAGAGGAAAGGAGGGTAGAGAGAGCTTGCCTCGGTTACTGCAGTCCATCCGTATTTGGGGGTAATGGTAGGTGAAGCAGACTGTAGTAGCATCTGGTTTGCTTTGAATTGAACTGGGCTCTAAAACGCCTGTGTAACCCGTTTCATCACTCTGTTGGTTGTTGGCTGGGTCTGGTTCTTTACAGAGTAACTCAGGATCAATGTGCTTCAACTTCATGTTTTTTAACCAGATGGGCTTGGCACACCTAGCAGAGGGGACATTCGGACACTGAGTAATGACTTAAAAAGTGCACACTACATATTGAGTTTTGTTGGAATCACTTACCTGGCGTGGTTTCCTAGATTACGGTTGCTTGGCACCTGAAGAGTGCGTACAAGACTATCCATTGGGCAGAGACAGTTCCAGGGGTTATCATATAAACGCAAGTAGCCAAGGTTTGGCATGGGGATGAGAGCCTCCTCACTAAGTGTTTGGAGGCGGTTGTGCTGAAGCAGCAGGGTGGTAAGCTTAGTCAGACCCTGGAAGGCCCCATCCTCCACTAGAGAGATCTGGTTCTGCTGCAGGTCCAGACTATCTAAATTCTCGTATCCGAGGAAGGCTCCATCAGGAAGGACTTTAATTCGGTTGCGGGCTAGAAGGAGGTGCTTGGGTTTGTTGGACCATGTGTTTGCGGTGGGAATAAAAGAGAGACGCCGTTCTTGGCAGTCTACAAAGACATGCCCAGATTCTGTTGACTCTAAACAGTTGGGTGACACAAGACCAGATGGGCCTGACCTGCTGTGACGGCGAGGACCTCTTTCCCTGACGATTCAAACACAATTAATCTGCTGCTGATTAATCTGTGAAAAATGGGCTGCAGAAATTAAATTAAATGTAGGAGTAATCCATACCTGTCCCGTGTGAGTTTGTGCCTTGCTCCTTTGAGGCCTCTGCCCTTTCCTGGTTTTTTCATCTCGATGGATGGGAGCAGCAGGAGGAAAAGGCCGAATAAGAGGAGAGGGGGGATTGCACGCATCCTGAACCCTGCAGGGGGGATTGTCTCTTCAGCAAGATGAACTGGAGTCAAATCAGCTTCTGATGAAAGTTTACAAACTGGGAAACGGAAATAACAGGTCAAAGGGCAAATTTGTTATTGTTGATTGTACACAGGAGCTGTCATCCCTGCAGAAGTGAGAGGTAACACACCAATCTGTTATAACATTATGACCAATCACAGGTGAAGTGAATAACACTTATCTCTATGTTATCGAGTTAGTGAACATTTTGTCCTCAAAGTTGGTGTTAGAAGCAGGAAAAACAAGCAAGCGTGAGTATCTGAGCGAGGTTGACAAGGGCCAAATTATGATGGCCAGGACATCTCCAAAACTGCAGCTTGTGGGGTGTTCCTGGTCTTCAGTGGTCAGTACCTATCAAAAGTGGTTCAAGGAATGAATATGGGAGGCCGAGACTCACTGATCCTTGTGGGGAGCGAAGGGTGGCTTGTGTGGTCCGATCCAGCAGATGAGCTACTTCAGCTTAAACTGCCGAAAAAGTTAGCGTAGGTCCTGATAGAAAGGTGTTAGAATACACAGTCCATCGCAGTTTGCTCAAAAATAAACTAACAAGGGGTACATGGGTATCAGAACTGGACCATGGAGCAATGGAAGAAGTGTTCTCGTCTGGTGAATCACGTTTTCTTATAAATCACATGGTTGGCTGGGTGCAGGTGTGTCGCTCACTTGGAGAACACCTGGCACCAGGACGCACTGTAGGAAGAAGGCAAGCTGGTGGAGGCAGTGTGATGCTTTGGGCAATGTTCTGCTGTGTTCTTTCAGCAGGATAATGCACCCTGTCTCAAAGCAAAAATGGTTCAGGAACTTTTTGAAGAGCACAACGATGAGTTTAAGTTGTTGACTTGGTCTCCAAATTCCCCAAATCTCAGTCTAATTGAACATCTGTGGGATGTGCTGAACAAACAAGTCAACTCCACGGATCCCCCAACACACAACTTAGAGGACTTAAAGGATTTGTTGCTAACATCTTGTCTGATACCACAGAAACACCTTCAGGGGTCTGGTAGAGTCCGTGCCTCGATGGTCAGGGCTGTTTTGACAGCAACCAACACAATATTAGGCAGGTGGTCAAAATGTTATTCCTGACTGGTGTATGTACAGCTTCAAAATACAGTGGATTACTATGACAATACTTGTTCATTCATTAAGATACAGACATAAAGTATTTGAAAAAATATTCAGCATAGTACAAGTAAACATGTATCTGTTCTATACTGCTCACTGTTTTATTGCAGGTGAATGCAGAAACCTGCAGGAGCTCAATGTGTCTGAGTGCTTTAATGTTACAGTAAGTGAACATGTTAACAATGAACATCTTAAAGCTACAGAAAAATGCATCTTGCTTTTGTATGTGCACATGTGACTTTGACGTTCTAAACCTTGACAAAACCCTGATTCTAATTGGTTTCATCCACCGATAAATAAACAGGCGATGGTCAGTTTTCCAAATATAGATTCTAGTAACAGGTTCCTTCCTGGTTGGATGGGAAGTAACATTTCAATCTCTCCTTTTGTAGGATATGATGGTCCAGAGAATTTTGGAGGGCTGTCCCTGCCTGCTCTACTTGAACCTTTCTTGCACCCTCTTAACAAACAAAACTCTACAAGAGCTGTCCAGGTAGGTCTCAATTTGTGGTAACACCATCAGTGATTTAGACTTTGTCACCAGAATAGATTTAATAGATGCTACAAACGGTGTATCGGTGTGCATAATGTTTCTTTCTGATGGCATCCCGCCCCTCAGGTTCCAGAATTATCTGCGTGTCTGTTTGTCCAGTCGAAGCCCACAGCTGGCTTGTATTTTATGTCAGAAATGAATGCGGTCTGTGCCAGCAAAATGATTTAGAGAAACAGATGCTACACTGTATAATTGTATGACAGGTTGACCGATTTCCATGATGGTGTTGCTCTCTCACATCTTGTAGTATTATGCAATGCTATCTGATTCACATTTTCCCACAGAATAATGTGAGGATGCTCACCTTTAATTGACAATGACATTTTCCTTTTTTATGCCAAGGCTTTCTTTTCAAATGTAACTTTTTTTGTGCTAAAAACTAACAACCAAACAACCAGCTATGATCTGTACAACGCTCATTAACACAAATAATTTGCCTTCATCATTTCTTACATCTAACAGAAACTGCCTGAGCCTTCAGTATCTGAGTCTGGCCTACTGCGATAGATTCACAGACGAAGGTTTTCTGTACCTGGCCACAGGGAAGGGCTGCCACAATCTCATCCACCTCAACTTGTCCGGCTGCACCCAGGTCAGTTGATGCGTTTCTCTCAGCTGCTCCACTCAAATTCAGCTGAAAACAGCAAATGGCTTTTGACCTCCTCAGTCCGTCTTGAACAAATCCAGTCACTCGTCTGTTTGCACGTGTTCTCTCTTGTCCCTGGCGTTGCTGGGGTTTGCACTCGGGGAGAGCTCCGAGCGAATGAGCAGATATATGAAGTTCAGGGAGAGGAAAAGGCAGCTGTGGCCAAGCAGAGGTTTGGGTTGGCCCACCCACTCAACATGTGTACACTCTGCAACGTAACCCACGTACTGCAACATGAAAGACACTCTTCTGGGAATGCGTATTAGTTTGCTTCCAGATGTATAGTTTTATGGGGCCCTGAAAATTCTGTGAATGAGGAAAAGTGCATCCAGGAGACTGATTAAGATGATGAAATAGACACAGATTTTCCCCTCTCCTCCTAGTTGACCGTGGCTGGGTTCAGATATATTTCTGCTGGATGTCCTGCACTTGAAGAGATTGTGATCAACGACATGCTCACGCTCTCAGATAGCTGTGTCCTGGTGAGTGTAAATCATGGCACATGAATGTGTCTTGCCTTGTGCATAATTCTTTGTACCCACACCCTTAACCCCATGTTGCTCTTCTCTAACAGGCCCTCCTTACCAGATGTCACTGCTTGTCTGTTATTTCTCTGCTGGATGCACCACATCTTTCCGATATCACTTTCAAAGCTGTTGCTGAAGCAGCCAAACTGAAGTCTTTCAGCATAGAGGGTGCGATCACATCCCACAGTCTTCATTTCAATACACGCACAGTGGGGGAAATAATTATTTGATCCCCTGCTGTATTTGTAAGTTTGCGGCTTATAAAGAAATGATCAGTCTCTAAATTTTATGGTAGTTTCATTTAAAAGGAGAGTCAGAATATCAAGGAAATATCCAGAAAAAACACATTACATCAAAGTTACAAATTGATTTAAGTGCCATTGAGTGAAACAAGTATTTGAATAATTCATGATTCCACAGATTGGTTGTGTGCCCAAGTTGCACACAGATTTCAGTCAGTCAAACAAAGATACTCCTGATCGCAACTCATTATATGTACAAAGCACACCTGTCCACATAATCAGTTTTGTCCATTCCAACCTCTCCACCATCATAGACATG